GGGGCAGGGAAGGGGCAGGGAAGGGGCAGGGGGTGATGCTGCCTGCACCCCGACCTGGCTCTGCCTGCATCCCGGCTGGAGGATGATGGATTTGTGCTCAGGACGGCGCGGGCTACGGCTGGTGATGGAGTACTTGCCCAACGGCTGCCTGAGGGACTACCTGCAGAAGAACCAACCCCGCCTGGACCATAGGACCCTGCTCCTCTACGCCTGGCAGATCTGCAAGGTGGGACTGCGGGGTGGGGGGGTGGTAAAGGGGGTCCTGTTCTCCAGGAATGAGGGGACACATGGGGATGGAGCGCTGTCATGGGTCACTCAGGGGGTCTCAGTCCAGTGGGGGGGACCCCGGGGGTGCTGCTGGGTCCTGGCCCTGGTGAGCAGTTGCGTCCTGCGCAGGGCATGGAGTACCTGGGGTCGCAGCGCTGCGTGCACCGGGACCTGGCCAGCAGGAACATCCTGGTGGAGAGCGAGACCCACGTGAAGATCGGGGATTTCGGGTTGGCCAAGCTGCTGCCGCAGGACAAGGAGTATTACGTGGTGCGGGAACCCGGCCAGAGCCCTGTCTTCTGGTGAGAATGGGATGAGAGCAGGGAGGGGGGTGACAGGGGGCTGGTGGCCCTGCTGGTGGCCCTGCTGGTGGCCCAGCCACTCATCCCCCCCCCGGGGGCAGGTACGCACCTGAGTCCCTGGCAGACAACATCTTCTCCCGGGCATCCGATATCTGGAGCTTTGGGGTCCTCCTCTACGAGCTCTTCACCTACAGCAACAAGAGCAGGAGCCCCTCGGAGGTGAGACCCCCACCCCTCTCCCCAATCCATGGGGCTGGGGTCCTGCTGCCCCCACCCTGGACCCCTTACCTTCAGGATGAGACCCCCCACCCCATCCTGATGGCCATCCCCGTGCCCGCAGGAGTTCCTCCGCATGATGGGCACCGAGAAGATGGCGCAGATCATCTGCCACTTGCTGGAGCTCCTGAAGGACAACCGGCGTCTCCCGGCCCCCGCCGGCTGCCCCGTGGAGGTGAGAGCCCGGGGAGGGGTCCGGGTTTTGAGGGGGGGGGCAGGTTTAGTGGTCCTGGGGGCCACCCTGCTCCCCTGACATCCCTGTCGCTTCTCCCCAGGTCTACACGCTGATGCTGAGCTGCTGGACTTTTGCCCCCGCTGCCAGACCCACTTTTGGGGAGCTGGCCCCCAGGATCGAGGCGCTGCGGGACGGACGGAGCAAAGCCCGTGGGTAGCCCC